GGGGGGGGGGGGCGGCCAGGCAGCAGGGAGTCCTCTCCCCCCCCCATGGGCTGCCGGACTCCGCTCGCCAGCGGTGGCGCCTGGTGTGTGCCAGAGGCCATCAGGGAGCGGCTCCAACACCGTGGGACTCCCGTGCTCGGAAGCAGGGTGCCGCCAGGTGCGGGGAGCCAGCTGGCACGGGCCAGCCGTGGGGAAGGGGGGCACTGGCCCGATCCAGCAGCTCACTCGCCTGGATTGCCCCTCCCGGATGTGTGGCCGTGCGCTGACTCTCTCCGCTCTGTCAGGGAGGGGGGCAGTGGTGAGGGAGCGGCCCGGCTGGGGCCTGAGTGCCGCTCTCCGGCTGCCGGTGTGTGGAAGGCACGGGTCGGGGGTGGGGGGTGGAGACCAGAGTGTGCAGAGCTGAGCCCCCTTCTGTCCTTGGGAAGATGGCTGAGCAGCTGGAGCTGGTGGGCGGGCGGGCAGGCAGGCAGGCCTCCTGGGGGGCCCAGGCCTCGGGGCTCTGGAAGGCTTGGGACTGGGAAGGAGGGACCCTGCTGCTCACGCGGAGGAGGAGGAGGAGGAAGCTGGGTCAGAGCATTCCCGCGCCGGGCAAAAGCTGCTCCTGATCTGACAGTGGGATTGGATTAAGCTGGAGGCAAAACAAGCAGCCCCACGGAGAGTCCTCAGCAGCAGCAGCAGCGCGAGCTCGTGTCCAGTGTTCCTTTTTGCGCTCAGGCGAAAGGGTCCCCGTCATTTAGCCCTGGCCAGTGACTTGGACGTGTGGGACGGCAGTTTCCCCAGTCCGAGGCTAGGGTTGGGCAGAGGCCGGAGGAGGAGGAGGAGAGATTCCTCCACAGTGAGCTCCGTTGGGTCTCCGTTCTCATGGAGGGACGAGGCAGGGCTTACCCCACTTCTTCCCTGGCCTTAGAAAAGGTTGGGTGCCAGTTTTGTCGATGCTATAAGAGCCACCTTGGCTTCGAGTTGAGAGCAAGAGAACGTGGAGGCGGCTTTGTTGCCTGAACTGAATGCCGGGTGTAAGCCTGCTTTTCTCAGACAGGTGTCCGGGGTGGCCTTTCCCCGCCTGGAAAGCGAACGGCGGCACCTCACGGCCTCCTGTCCTTGCCTCCGGTGACGGGTTTGCATGTGTGGAGTCGAGTGTCTTCAGTATCATGAACCCGGATGTTACTTGAACCTTGACCTCGGGGTGCCACTGCTCTGCCCTGGGTCCGTGCCCAGAGAGATGGGCCCAACGGAGGGTGGAGCTCTCAGGGTGGTGGTGGTGGGGTTTTTTTTGGGGGGGGGAGAAGTGAGGCTTTCCGTCAGATAGTGCATAAAGCTTCAGGGTTCTTTTTGATGCCGTTCAGTGGGTGGAGAGTGAGGTGAAGATGGCAGCAAGAAATGCTTTCCACCATTGTCATATGGTGCATAAGTGGCTTCTGCTATTAGACATTGTTGCATCCGTGCGCTTGTAACGCCTCTCTTGGGCTTCTCCAGAGTGAGACGGTCTCTACGAGCCACTCCAGTCAGCATCCTGGCGGCAGCACTCTGCTACAGTAGAAGCTCCTGCACACTTCTCAAGGGTGGCAGCCCTGTGATCTAGAGCGCGTTGCAGTCCTCTGACCTGGGTGTAAGCAGGGCAGGCACCACAGTGACCTTTCTGCCCAGGAAGAGCCGCGGCTGGCCAGCCAGGGGAAGCGGGAGAGGGGCACTCCTGGCCCCACCGCTGCCTCTCGCCCACTCGAGAGTCAGCCTGAGAACAAGAGGAGCCGGAAACCACAGATCTGAAACTCCCAAGTCAGCCCTTCAGCTCACCAGTAGCACTACCGTCTTGCTAGGATTAAGCCTCTGTTTACTAGCCCGCATCCATTCCAAAGCTGTCTCCTAGAGTCCTAGAATCAACCCCTCTGACAGTTAGGAAGTTTCTCCGGATATTTAGCCGGTATCGACTCCCTTGTAATTCCCACCCATTCGATCTGGTCTTGCAATCCGGAGCAAGAGAGAATAGATCCGCTCCATCTTCTGCATGACAGCCCTTCAGATACTTGAAGACTGCAATTCTGTCCCCTCTAAGCCTTCTCTTTCCCAGGCTAAACAGACCCAACTCTTTCAGCCTGTCCTCGTAAGATTTGGATTCCAACCCTCTCACTATCCTGGTTGCCCTCTTCTGGACACGCTCGAGCTTGTCAACATCCTTCCTAAAATGTGGTGCCCAAAACTGGACACAGGACTCCGGGTGAGGCCTGAGTCCATAGTAGAACAGAACGGAACAACCACCTCCCGTGATCTGGACACAATGCTTCTGTGAATGCATCCTAAGACTGCATTCGCTTTCTTCGCAGCCACATCGCACTGCAGGCTCATGTTTAGCTTGTGATCTACCAGAACACCTAGATCCCTTTCACAGGTGCTGCTGTCAAGCCAAGCCCCTCCCATTCTATATCTGTGCCTGTGATTTTTTGTACCTAAGTGTAAGAGTTTGCACTTATCTCGAAATTCATTTTATCTGTCTCAGCCCACAGCATTGCTGTCAGATGGCCATGTAGCCTCTGTTTGAAAACCTCCAAAGACAGAGAGCCCACCACCTCCCGAGGAAGCCTGTTCCACTAAGGAACTGCTCTAACTGTTTACTGTTAGGAAGTTCTTCCTAATGTTTGGCCGAAAACTCTTCTGATTTAATTTCCACCCGTTGGTTCTGGTCCAACCTTCTGGGGCAACAGAAAACAGTTCCGCACCATCCTTTAGATGACAGCCCTTCAAGTACCTGAAGACGGTGATCCTATCCTCCTCTCCAGGCTAAACATGCCTAGTTCCTTTAGCCTCTCCTCATAGGACTTGGTTTCCAGACCCCTCACCATCTTCGTTGCCCTCCTCTGGACACGTTCCAGCTTGTCTTCTACCGTATTTCCTGCCCCTCTCAATTTAGAATCATCTGCAAATTTAATAAGCATTCCCTCTATGCCTTCATCCAAATCATTTATAAAGATGTTGAACAAAACAGGCCCGAGGACAGATCCCTGAGGCACTCCAGTTGTCACTCCTCTCCCAGAAGATGAGATGCTATAAGCAAACATAGGATACACATGGGATTATGATTATGTATAACGGGATTATGATTGATTATGCATGGGATAGAGCAGGTTGAGAAAGAAGTACTTTTCTCCCTTTCTCACAATACAAGAACTCGTGGGCGCTCAATGAAATTGCTGAGCGGTCGGGTTAGAACAGATAAAAGGAAGCATTTCTTCACCCAAAGAGTGATTCACACATGGAATTCCCTGCCACAGGAGATGGTGGCGGCTACAAGCATGGACAGCTTCAAGAAGGAATTAGATAAGCATATGGAGCAGAGGTCCATCAGTGGCTATTAGCCACAAGGTATAGATAGGGACTCTGGGGCAAGAGATGCTCTGTCTTCTTTGTGCTTGGGGTGGGGGGCAACAGTGGGAGGGCTTCTAGTGCCCTCCTGGCCCCACTGCTGGGTCTCCTGATTGCACCTGGTATTTTTGGCCACTGTGTGACACAGAGTGTTGGACGGGCCATTAGCATGATCCCCAGAACCAAACAAAGGTTAGTGAAAAGGAGGGCCAATATTAAAACCTTTCCATAAAAAGAAGTACATGTATTTATTGATAATAACAAATTTAAAACATATAGGGGCCCAATTACAACCAATGTATATAAAACATAACAATATCAAGGGCTTAAAAAGTTGACCTTACGCGTTTCGGCCAAATAGGCCTTCCTCAGAGGTCATACACTTTGAAGCGAATCCGGTATGCTGTCGGCAGCCAGTGCAGCGCTTTCAGCACAGGTTGGGTGTGCTCCCACCTAGGAGCGCCGACCAACAGCCTGGCTGCAGCATTCTGCACCAGCTGCAGCTTCCGGATTTGTGACAGAGGCAGCCCCATATAGAGAGCATTACAGTAGTCTAGCCTCGAGGTGACCGTCGCATGGATCACTGTAGCTAGGTCGTTGTGGTCGAGGAAAGGAACCAACTGCCGTACCAGCCGAAGGTGATAAAATGCCGATCTGGCAGTGGCTGCCACCTGGGACTCCATCGTTAAGGTGGGGTCCAGGAGCACTCGCAAGCTCCTAACCTCCGAAGCTGGCACCAGAGGTGCCCCGTTGAAGGTCGGAAGCAGGAGCCCTAACCCTGGTCCGGTCCAACTCAAGAACAGGACCTCCATCTTCGCCGGGTTTAATTTCAGTTTGCTCCATCTGAACCACCCAGCCATGGCTTGTAAAGCCCGGTGCTTGGAGTCCGACTGGCCGCCCAACATCAAATAGAGCTGGGTGTCATCTGCGTATTGATGGTACCCTAGCCCATACCTCCGGACAATCTGGGCAAGGGGGCGCATATATATGTTAAACAGCATCGGGGAAAGCACCGCCCCCTGAGGCACCCCACATACCAGCGGGTGCCTCTG